GAGAGAGAGAGAGAGTAGGCTTCAACAAAATACTTTTGCTTTGACAGTGAAATATTGTGAGAGATGTGTGTTGAACATGTAGAAGATGGAATGGATGAGAGAGGGGAGAGAGAAGGGGGGAGAGGAGAGAAAGGAGAATGAAGGGGGTTTGGATCAAATACCTAGAGTGGAGAGAGAACACCTCATCCCATATCGTGAACTCACATTTTTGGCTCCAAACTCAAATTTGGTTAAAAGACAAAAATACCCTCTTATCAATATTTAGACTTTTAATAATGAAAGGGGATAATAAATTAGTAGTTCACACCATTGCTAAATGGAATACATAGGTTTCCTATGGGTGTTAACCATAGAAATGTGTGTGTGTGTGTGTGTGTGTGACACATATATGCGCGTATTGTACATACAGTGCATGTAATATACTAATAAATCATATTTTTTACATAGGGTATATGTATAATCAATTGATTATACATTAAACTTAACTAGAAAATTTTAGATCACATTTAACGCATGTCACACAACTGCAAAGAGTCAATGACAGTAGCATTCTCAATGCCATATGGCTGATGGCTCCTTGTCCAAGAGACCAAGACCATGAAGTCAATTTAATCAACTACATAAGCACAAGTTCACGCTATAGAGAAAATGATCCAAAACAAGTAATAAACAAAATGCAAAATGAAGTGTATAACTTTTAATCTTTGTTTAGTCCCTCGCCTTCAACCCCAACACCATCCGATTGCAAGTTATCATCAAAATCATGACTCTTTTCAACATAATGGTCCTCCATCCTTCGTTTCTTCCAAAATTGGCCTCTGCCTTTATTATCTCTCTCCTCTGTGCACCTGACGCAGTAGTCGATCTAGTGGTCCTCCTAGGGTTGTAGGCAGGCCCCAAGGCAACCATATCCCAAATCAAACCTCTAGTGAAGACTCTTGTGCTCCAAGCCACCAACCGCTCACTATCATTATCTAGGTCCTTCGCTTCAATGTGATCATTTTTGTCAGGCACTCAGGCTGATTAAAGTGTTCCTTTGGCCTCTAATTATACTGGACAAATCACGCAGTTTCTTTTGCTGAAGTTGTTCCTTATCTTTGTGTGCAGTTCAGAGTACTATGGATATACGATAAAGTTAAAATTAAAGCACAAGTTTTATAAGTTATAATCATAATTTATTACTTATATTTGTATCTTATAAATTGGAAAATAAAATTTTTATCAGTGTTATTAATATGTATTGTGATCTTTGCAAATTATTATCTCAACTGAACCCCAATTGCACTCTCAACTAGATGAGCTACATCTCAAGTTCATGATGTGGAGGGCCATCTTTTGTAAGTTGGGGGCACTACTCCTATGTTGGTTCCTCTATTGGCCTGCATTATTTAAATGTTAAAATTGCATAGTATAAGTTATGACTAATAAAAGTTAAGTATGCTGTATGCAGCATTTGGAACTATAAATATTGTAATCACATATTAATAATAAAAGTCAAGTATGCTGTATGCAGCATATGGAACTATAAATATTGTAATCACATATTAATATAACATAAAGCATTATAATGTATGAGTTTCTGAAGCTATAAAACCTCATAGCTAATTAATACATTAGAAAGACTGGATAAAATTTAGCCCTTTGTCTCATGGCAATTTCCATCCCAAGCATCTCATGCACACTCGTGTAAGGTCAACTTCTCAGAAGATAATGTGGATATCCTTTTTAGGATTGAGCATTTCAATACTTGTATTAAACTCATCCATAATTGCATCTTTCTATCTGAGTCTTCCTAAAAGGATTTTGGGATCAAATAGTACTGAGCTGAATTCAAGGGACCATAAAGCTGCTTATCACACTTTGTGTCTACAATCTCCCATATTGGTTTCCACATTCTCTTCTCATTCCCAATGCCTTGACTATCTCTCCTTTGGTTCCCTCTAAGGCACATCATACATATAGCTTATACCACTTCACTATTCACTAATCGCAATGCTTTGACCAAGGGCCAAATACCTTTAGTGAGTGCACTCTCCTACACTCAAACGACTTTGAGAAAACAATATCAGATACCCTCTTCCCTTGTGCTTGGACCACTTGCATGTCAAGCTAAGTAAGAGGTGGAAAGTCTCATAACAACTGGCCTAATAGTGTCTCTCTTATTGGTGGCATTTCACATCGTGCTAAGGGGAAGGGTGTGGCTGTAGATGAATACATTTATGGCCTTAGCTTTATCGAGTGTCCCCTTTAACCTTGGCATGTTGTTAATAATATCCTCAAGCATGAGCCATGAGTTCTACACAATGTCTTGCTTATAATGCCCGAAAAATACGAGGTCGCTTTTGGCACAATAAATTAGCAGTAGATCTTATTGGTTGTGCCATGTTGTGACCACCTGTATAACATGCTTCTCTCCAACCTGCTCCAAACTTCTAGTGAACAAGGAACAAACATGTTGTGCATTGTGAACACTAGCACAAGCATCAACAGACCTCTAGAACACTCTTAAAGGACAATCAGCCATCAAATTCATTACACGTCTGCGGCTCTTAAAACTCCATCAATCTGTCATGATTGAAGCCCCATATTGCACCCATGCATCTTGTGGGTCTTGAGGTACTCCTTTGTGAGTTATAGCTCCTTTTTAGTTGTGGCTTTGTAAGCTCATGAGTGGTTGGCCCCCCAACCATGGCCCATATTGGCAAATAACCTCAAATATTGTATGAGTGCATTTTAGGAGAGCAGTATTGAAAGCAATACCCACTTGATACATCATTGAGCAATATATTGACATACCCAACCTATCTTATATCTTAAACTTGTCTTCAATAGTAGTTTGCTCCTCTCCTTTCTCTTTGTCATGTGCTCCGGGCTGGGGCAAAAAAAAAACAGACACTAGTCCCCTTCATATGGTGCTTTCTCAAACCTAATTGTTCCTCTCTTACTACCTCAAGAAGAACCGGCTTCAATCTCCCTTTTTCATCATCATCAAACATATAAACCCTGACTTTCGACCCCACCATGGTTGCCTCTTTTTGCCTTTTACCTTTTTCCAGAATCCCGATGTCAGTAACATCTGCTGAACTTTTCACATAGGGTAACACCCCCCTGATTCCAGCATTGTTTTTTGGAATCTATTAAAATCCCCATATTATCTTGATCAATGTAATTAGATTTGCTTAGGGGCTTCTTCTATATGGCAGGGAGAGTTTTGTGCTGTGGCCGACTCGGGGGAGGACTTCATTCTTTTTATTAATCTTTAAATAAAAAATATGCCAAATAAATTAAGAACGATTTTTTAAAAATAAAAACATAGAAATAAAGAATTTTTTCAAGACATGCATGATATCTAACTTGAAATTTTCATAAAAATATTGCTATGAAATGTTTATGATCAAGGTGTTACATTCACAATCCATAATCATATCCCACATTAATCATTTTATGTTCACCATAACCATGAAAAGCTAAATTTACAACTATCCATTATTTTAGGCTGGGAATTTGAAGTTCTTAGATGTAAGAATGATAAATAAATTTTGAGAAGGACTGTATCTTTTTGGGACTTTTTAAGTTTTAGGAAAAAGTGGCCATTTTATGTTTTTTATATTCTTTGGGACAATGTTCTCCCCTTATTTTTTTTATTAAGATTGCCTTTTATGCCATCATCTTTGCTATTCCTTTTATGTCATCATCTCTGCTATTCTGCTCTATCAAGGGCCATATCCTTAGTCAGACCATCAGTCACCATATCTTTTCTCAATACTTTTATCCATATCCTTTGGACCTTCTCCTTGCCCTTCTAGAGCTTTCCACTTGAACCAAATCACCCTCCTAACCAGTGTTGTATTAGGTTTACATTGCATATGGCCAGTCCACAGAAGTTTACTTTCCCTCATCTTATTGCCTATTGGAGCTACCCCTAAGTTCCCTCATGTGCATTCAGAATGAATAGATTTCTATCCTTATATAAAAAAATATTGAATTGATATATTGTACTTCAGCTGAAGACACATTTTCTTCAGCCAAAGACACCTTTGCTTAAGCTGAAGATGCCCTTTCTTCGTCTGAAGCAAGCGGAAGAGGACGTAAACACCCGAATAAACTTGAAGCAAGTGTTCTCAGATTTCACTTCAGTTTGAGTTTAAAATCTGAAGGTTTTGGCTGACCAAAGCACATTTAATAACACTGTTCTTGATCACCATAATGCAATAAACTTTGTTTCCATCAATTTTTTTTCCAAGCGAAAACCATATCTGTGATCTAGATCTCCACTCCACACTCCAAGAAGTTCCAAGAGAAGACATATTGAAAGATCTCAGATACAAAGAAATTTAACTAAGATGGCTAATCTTTGTTGCCTGACCTCTGACCCTCAATATTTTGGATGAATATCGAGGTTTAAGTCACCCAAAATCTCCTATTATAGCTTCTCTTGTATTTCACAGAAAAAAGAAAATCCTAAACATATGTATTCCATATGATTTCTCAAAATTTTTAGATCTTTCAATTTTCAAAATTTCAAAAACTTACCAATATCTTCCTCCCTAACCGATATTACCAAAATGGCTAGGACGTGAGGGCATCTTTTGCTCTCAATCCGGTGGCTTGCCTACCCTAGGAGAGGTGCCCAGGCACCCAAGGCTGTCTTTTTTGTAACATTGATTATTCCTAATCTTATAGTTTGTCCTGGAGTGTGCTATCCTTGAAGAATAGATGAGCAGTTAGAGAGATATGAGTATCAACTAAGTTATGGTGGAGAAGTGGATATCAAATTATTAGAAAGAGAATTTCATGTCTCCTGAACATTAGAGTTATAGATTTGCATGATTTTTCAAAAAAAAAAGTTATCAATTTTTTTGATTGCATGCAATGATATTTGTTAAAATAAGGTATTTCAAATGTTGGTTGTATGCCTGGTGTTCACTAGAAAACACTGGACTCTTTGGAATGAACATTGAAACTTCGGATTTGTAGTAGTCTACTTAACTCAGCGTGTCAATCTGGCCGGGTTTAACATTCTCGCTTAAAATTTATTAAAATATTATTTCGGTATATACTAGTCATTGCAAATCAGAATTCAGGAAAGTCCTATGAAGCCAAAGGAGAATTGGAGCCACCCTTAGCATGTGTGCTTAATTCCATTGAGAAATGATTTAGTACCAAACTACTTCTGTCCAATTTAATTTTGTTTGAACGCCAAATGGCACTTGTTAGTTGCGCAAGTGGCGGTGTTTCTTGAGTCACAGTATCTCCAGCTGTCACAGTAGTTATCCAGAGTCACTGAATTGGCGCAAGTTTGGCCAAGTTCATGCAAGATCTCCTTTAGCGGCAAGGATCTTGCTAATTCTTAGGAAGAGGTAAGGATCGCCTGTAATACATCCGTTAATGGCTGGCTGAAATTTCTATCTATTAGTGGCTGAAATCTCTAGAAATTTAGTTGTCAATGAAGTAGTTACTTTGGGAATTTCCTCTCTTGACAGGGCCAGAGCATTTGGAAAAAATCACAATAAAAGCAATGTTATTAATGGCTTTTTTTCCTTTATTTCTACTATTTTGGATCTTTCTGTGCTGTTAGTAATATGTTCTTTCACCTGCGTCCTTGTCTCACATTCATTTCCTCTCATTCTGCACAGGCTTTTCTCTTGTGGGACAAGCAAAGAAGGTGAATCTCACTTAGTTGAGTGGAATGAAAGTGAAGGAGCTATAAAGAGGACATACCTGGGGTTCAGAAAGCGTTCTTTAGGTGTTGTCCAATTTGATACTACAAAGAATAGGTTCTTAGCTGCTGGAGATGAATTCCAGATCAAGTTCTGGGATATGGATAATATCAACATATTGACTACTATAGAAGCTGATGGTGGATTGCCGGTAACATAAAGTCATCAAAATTTGACTCTCCAATTATTGTTTTCATGGTATACTTAACTCTTGATTTTAATCCCTTTTCAGGCTAGTCCTCGGCTAAGATTTAACAAAGAAGGGTCCTTGTTGGCTGTTACAACAAATGATAGTGGCATCAAGATCTTGGCAAACCCTGATGGGCAGAGACTGATCCGGATGCTGGAAAATAGAGCCTTTGAGGGATCCAGAGGTCCCTCTGATTCCATGAACGCAAAGGTTTTCGCCCTTTATTTATGCAAAACCTATGATTTTATTCTTTTTGTTATGATGTTTCCCTTTTATTTGTGGAAAAGCTGTGGCTCATTTTCTTTTGTACAGTTATAACTTTTAGTTGGACCTTTAAACAACTGAAAGATACCTTTTTTTTTTCTTTCGGTTGACTGAAAAGAGAAACTGACAATAAAGTCCCTTCCATTGTCCGTAATAGCGCAAAAAAGTGGTTGATTTCTGTTCTTTCTTAATGAAAATCAGTATATAAGATAGGTCTTTTCAGTAGTTTGCTACTTTACTTTTTGGGAAGGTGTTGATGCCTTTTGAATATTCACCGCGTGAAAATTCCCTTTCTTTGTGAAATTGGTTACAACCATGGAACTTTTAGGGGTGCCGTATTCTGAATGATGTCATTACATTTAAGATGCTTTGTTTGCAAACTTGCATCTAAGACACCCAATTTACAGCTTCTCTGTTTATAGGTGTCTCTCTCTTTCAATTTTTTAAATTGATGGAGCTCTCTGATATATTTTCTCACAATATGTGGGTATCTGTCGTAACTTCTTTTCCAATTAAGTTTTGATTGGTTAAACACTTCTTTCTTTTGAATTTTTTCTGCAAAATTGTTGACTTCATGCCGGCTTCATTGTGCAGCCTCCTGTTGTTAATCCACTGGCTTCTGTTGGAAATGTAACTGCTCCCCTTGCTGCTGTTCTTGAGCGCCCAGAGAGTAGGATTCCACCTGCAGTATCTATGAATGCCTTGGTAACATTTTTAGGCTTCAGATATAAACCTCATGAGAAGTTTGTTGTGAACTTTTTCTATTTTTAAATAATATTCTCAATTTCAATGGAATGCAGAATAATTTGGACAGCAATAGGACATCTGAGGTTAAACCGAGAATTTCAGAGGATGTTGTGGATAAGATTAAAGGCTGGAAACTGTCTGATATTGCAGATTCATCACTGCTTAAGGTTCTTAGGTTACCTGATCCTTTTTCAACAGGAAAGGTAATCTTCATAACCTTTCTAAGTTGTATTTGTGTCTTTACAATAACTACAAACAAAGAATGGAAATATAAATGCTTTAGTGTTGTCTACTTTTATTTTTATTTCTGGGGTCTGGTGTATATCTTATCATATTGTGCTTAATTTCTTATCATCATGTTATACATAGGTTGTTAGGCTCTTATATACAAACTCAGGATTTGCTGTATTGGCCCTTGCTTCTAATGCCATACACAAGTTATGGAAATGGCAGCGTAGTGACCGCAACCCATCTGGAAAGGTTAGTTTTAACTATGTATGCGCATGCATGTCCTCATTGGTGTACTTTCAAATCATAACACTGTTTTCTTTTGTGGATGTTAAGTCTTCGGCATCAGTAACTCCTCAGTTGTGGCAACCAGCAAATGGGCTTCCCATGACAAATGACATAGGGGACATGAATCCGGAAGAATCGGCTGCATGTATAGCTTTGTCGAAGAATGATTCGTACGTTATGTCTGCATCGGGTGGGAAGGTTTCCTTGTTCAACATGGTGGCTTTTAAGGTCAGTACTCCAGTTGCTTCAATCTTTACCACATATATGTTTGTTTTATTCATATATTAGAGATTCATAGTGTGCACTTGAGATTTTTTGGAACTCGAATAACTACATGCGAGTTGCATGAGCACTTAATGCATCTGGATGCTTGCCATCTCGTGTAACTCACAAACTGCTCATTGTGGAAGAGTGATCTTTTTGTTGAAGGGAAGATTTTTAACATGTAGAGAGCAATTGGGAAGAGGGGGAAGGGGCTAAATGGGTTAAAGAAGTGGTTTTCATTTGAATTCCTAATGTCATTTTGTCAGTTTGATGATTGAGATGCAGATACATACCCTCTCTCTCTCTCTCTCTCT